ACGGATACAAATGAGAAAAATGTTGTTAGAGTTGAAGCAGCTTCTCCATCAGAAAAATTGATTTATTGGAAACGGAATAATTTTAACTTTTTGGATAGACGTTTTACAAAGGGTTAATGAAACCAATAAAGCAGTCCAAAAACAAAATATGGATTTAAGCACAAATGCTCATCTTTTGTCATTTTTAGTTGAGAATTATGAGGAAATTAACAGGAAACGAAAATTATGCTCAGAAGCGGATAATCATAAGAAAATTACAATTTGAACAAAATAATTCAGAGGCAAGTTTAAGCAAAAAAGAAACAATGCGAACAATATGTTTTATTTTAATAATTGACAATCTATAATCCGAAATCATTTGTCGATATGATAGCTAGAAATCTGGCACAAACAAATTTGAATTTTTTGTTTAATCTAAAAGTATAAATCTTCGTGGAGGATTCGGATGAGTTTTTTCCTCAAAAATGTGTCCAACTTAAGAAACTGGTAACTTCCCTTTCGGAAATAAAAATAGAAACTCCATTAGAATTAGTATAAGTTTTATACGAAAATAAATTAATATCTTCATTTTCGAATATTAATATTTGTCTGCGAATTTTTTTTATAATGGTTTCAAATGCAAGTGGTGAACGATCTTTTTCTGCTCTAAAAAGGGTAAAGAACTACCTAAGAAATACAATTCCCCAAGAAAGATTTAACTCCTTAGCAATTCAGCAAATGTAAAGTGTTATAAAACAATTTGCTACTATAAAGGCTTGAAAACAACCTTTTAATTATTAGTATTAGGATTTCTCAATATTTATTTAAACCAAAGAAGAATGTTTTATTTATTTATAACTTTTAATTAGTTTTTATTAGTTTAATGAAACAAAATATTAAACTTTTATTTTTAAATTAGTTTTTCTTAGTAGTATTGTTTATATAAACCAAAGAATGTTTTATTTTTTAGTTAGTGCTTTTGATTAGTTTTTATAATTTGTTTATAAAGGCTCATTTTATATTTTATAGGATACTAAGTTTACTGTTAGATACCAGCCTAACCAACCTAATCTTTCACTTGACGTGAGAAAGTATGACTTAAAAATTTAAAAATGTTTTTAAAAAAGTAATATTTTAAAGCATTGGGCGTTGTGTTTGTGCCAGAACCGGGCGGCGAACTAACTTAAACCGGCACTGGCTACACAGGGCCGCGCCTAAGGGGGGTGTAGGGGGGGAGTCACCCCCCAAAGTCTTGGCAGTTGGTTCCAAATCCAAACACGGTTGGCAAAATCTATAGTATTTGGGTCGGTTGATTGGGTATACCTACCCTACCAACCAACCCATCACAATAAGTAAAATGAAATATAATTTTTAAACTTTAAATACATATTACAAAATTATAATTTTTAATCTATTGTAACCTCCTATAATCGTTACCATCAAGAAAATTGTATAAGTCAACCTTATTTTTATTAAAGGACATTATATTTCACACAAGCGGCTTGTACAGGGTGGTCCACGTAAGGTGACCCATATACTTATCTCAGAAACTACTGGAGTCACAAAAAATTTGTAGGGAACAAATATTCACGAAGTAAAAAATATTTTTAAAATATTATATTTTCATTTATACAGGGTGTTCGGTTTTCCTTGGGACGATACCAACTTTCTTATTTTCAATGGAACACCCTGTATTTTTTTGCATTTTTGGATTCTTCCCACTCTTTTAGGTATACTTTGTAAATACATTAAATAAGAAAATGTTAATACTTTTTGAGTAAAATTAAGATTTATTAAAATTTCTCTAAATGTAGACACTCGCTAAAAGTTAAAAATAACCAACTAAAAGTTATTATTTTTTTATATTATGTAGTATCCATCTCTTTAATAATAAGTAAGCTATAAGTTAATTATTATATTTTTTGGAAAATATCATACAGGGTGTTTTCTATGTCCCGTTGAAAATAGCGATTTTAAAAGTTTAAAATCTTGTTTTTATTCAATGGAACACCCTATATATTTTTGCATAATTGGATAGAATAAGTAATTACCTTTCATTTTATATATATATGTCCTATACCTAAACCTAACAGAAAAAAAAATATTCGCATTTTTCACAATTAGTAGCTTTTTCCAATTACCTTAGTTAAATTTTCATTATTCAAAGAAAACACCCTGTATAATATTTTCCAAAAAATAAATTAATTAACTTATAGCTTACTTATTATTAAAGAGATGAATGCTACATAATATAAAAAATAATAACTTTTAGTTGGTTATTTTTAACTTTTAGCGAATGTCTACATTTAGAGAAATTTTAATAAATCCTCATTTTACTCAAAAAGTATTAATATTTTATTAATTAATATATTTACAAAGTATACCTAAAAGAGTGTGTAGAATCCAAAAATGCAAAAAAAATATAGGGTGTTCCATTGAAAATAAGAAAGTTGGTATCGTCCCAAGGAAAACCGAACACCCTGTATAAATGAAAATATAATATTTTAAAAATATTTTTTACTTCGTGAATATTTGTTTCTTACAAATTTTTTGTGACTCCAGTAGTTTCTGAGATGAGTATATGGGTCACCTTACGTGGATCACCTAAAAAAAATATTCGCATTTTACAAAATTAGTAGCTTTGCGCGTATGGTAATTATTATAGTAATATATATTTATATATAAAAGCATTTTTATTTGTTGTTATTGAAATTTATTTATTTGAATAATGAAAATTTAACTAAGGTAATTGGAAAAAAGCTAATAATTGTGAAAAATGCGAATATTTTTTTTTCTGTTAGGTTTAGGTATAGGACATATATATATAAAATGAAAGGTAATTACTTATTCTATCCAATTATGCAAAAATATATAGGGTGTTCCATTGAAGAAAAACCAGATTTTAAACTTTTAAAATCGCTATTTTCAACGGGACATAGAAAACACCCTGTATGATATTTTCCAAAAAATATAATAATTAACTTATAGCTTACTTATTATTAAAGAGATGGATACTACATAATATAAAAAATAATAACTTTTAGTTGATTATTTTTAACTTTTAGCGAGTGTCTACATTTAGAGAAATTTTAATAAATCTTAATTTTACTCAAAAAGTATTAACATTTTCTTAATTAATATATTTACAAAGTATACCTAAAAGAGTGGGTAGAATCCAAAAATGCAAAAAAATACAGGGTGTTCCATTGAAAATAAGAAAGTTGGTATCGTCCCAAGGAAAACCGAACACCCTGTATAAATGAAAATATAATATTTTAAAAATATTTTTTACTTCGTGAATATTTGTTTCTTACAAATTTTTTGTGACTCCAGTAGTTTCTGAGATAAGTATATGGGTCACCTTACGTGGACCACCCTGTACAAAGTCGGCACCGCCTCGCGGTGGTTTTGGCGGCGTTTGACTCTTTTTACGCACCGCAATTTTCGGCGTCTTATTTTTCTAGATTATTATTTAGTTGAAGCTTATCTAAGCTAAGTAAAATGGGAATTATTTTTTTTATATGGAAAAGAAAGCTAGACCGGGCCGAGTTCTAGTAAAATGCTCATTATAATGAGCATTTTACTAGAACTCGGACATATATGTGGATCTGTGTTTAACAAGGACTAGAAAAAAATGCATGAGAAAAATATTCACGGTGGAAATTTGGTTAACATTGGCAGCAAATCAAAAAAATAGAGAACGATCGTTCTTTACCTACCCGATGGGATTGATTCTCGAGAATCAATCCCATCGACTTCGAAAGAGCATGCTAATGGTAGGTAAAGACATTCTTTATCTACACTTTACAGCACTTTCCATACATGATAAAACTACTGAAAATGTTTACTATTATAATAATACTATTATAAAAAAAAACTTAATTTTTTATCGATACTTTAGTAGTACAGCCTTTCCATGCAAGTCGGGAATTTTTGTAACGTCCGTTACAATAAAAAATTGTGAGTAAAACTACCTTAATTATTATGCTTATAAGTTTAGGCCCAATTATTACAAGCATAATAAACATGTGTGCAATATTAACTATTTTAACAGTATTTAATTTAATTACGCTTTTACTCACAATTTTTTATTGTAACGGACGCTACAAAAATTCCCGAGTAGCGTGGAATAGCTGAGTATACTCAGCCATTCCACGCTACTCGGGAATTTTTGTAGCGTCCGTTACAATAAAAAATTGTGAGTAAAAGCGTAATTAAATTAAATACTGTTAAAATAGTTAATATTGCACACATGTTTATTATGCTTGTAATAATTGGGCCTAAACTTATAAGCATAATAATTAAGGTAGTTTTACTCACAATTTTTTATTGTAACGGACGTTACAAAAATTCCCGACTTGCATGGAAAGGCTGTACTACTTAAGTATCGATAAAAAATTAAGTTTTTTTTTATCGTCTCCACCCCCCCAAAAAAGTGTGCCTCGGTACGGCCGGGATATAATGTAAATAAAATACTAAATAAATATTAATACCTACCTAAATAAGGTAGAATAATTTGGGCATTTTAAAGAGGGTGGCAAACCTATTAATAGGTATAGGTACTTTTGGCTAATAGGTAGGTACTTAAATCACGTTTATTTAAAACTTGTTTTAACCTACCAGACATTTTCTCGCACTCGTCCATTAATGGACGAGTAATTACAAAACAAGCGAGAAAGGAGTATAATTCTCAATTATTGTCCTCGTGCGAAAAAATGACGTCTAATGTCATAATTATGATAACTTAAGTTATTCCCTACATTACATGCATAAATAAAACAGCTAATTTAAATTCATAATTCTTCTATTATGATTACAATCGTTTCGTGTGAATTAAAGTCATATGGAAAAATTGCATAGGTAGGTATTTTAATCTAAATCAATATACCTACGTTTGTAGTTGTCAGTGTTTAAATCATTAAATAAAATAAACATCATTTGCCAAACCACAAAACGACAGCTATTCTAAGTTAGAATTTCTAACCTAGCAGAATTGCTTGACAATAAAAATATTTACTCACCTATATTATATGCTGAATATATGTTCATTCCTAATTTTCCAGGATTAATTAAAAATTGCGATTTTTAAGAATTACGGTACACATAGGGATTATATTTTGCATTATAAAATTTTCAAAATTAATCAAATGGCATTTAATATATCACAAAGAGTCAAAAAGCACTTTATTTAGTTTTATTTCGCCTTTAGGAATATATGCAATGGATTTGCAAATTATTTAATAATACAAGACAACCCTTTTACAACACAACATTTTATCTCGTTTGGGCAGTGATTTTTTTTAGTAATTTTTTACTGAGACTATCAATGATTTTGTTGGCTGTTCTGAAATATACAGCGCCATCTATTATCCAGTAGATTAGTAAACATTTTCAGATTGCTATATTTTTAAGCTATGTTTGCCAGTGTTTAGTATAAAAAAAGATTTTTTAAAATTATTCCGTGGGTTTTAAGCATAGACTTGGGTTTTAAGGTACAATCCACACCAACTTTTATATTTTTTTAGTTTGATACATACTATTTTAGCAATTTTAACATATTTCTAATTTTGAAATTCAAAAATATTTTTAAATTATGTCATAACCTTACATTCCAATAGCAAGCAAAACCAGGTTAAATAGGGAGAAATGGTTAATTTAAGATAAATAAGTGTATTTTATTTAGTTCCTTAGATTAGTTTTATACATGCAAAAAATTGGTTTATTTTTGACATTTGACAAGCCGGCAGCTTGTTGACCAAACACTTACCTTAAGGTTTTTTAATTATTTACCCATTGTAAAAATGGAAGGAGTAGTACAAAACATCCCCGTGAAAGAAAATAGTGTAGAGAAAATTACAATAGAATTATACCAGAAGAAAAGCCGCAAGAAAATGAAAGCATAACACAAAAAACCAAAACCATTAAAAGCTAAGAGAAAAGAAAAAAACCAAAGGATACTACTGCTCCCAGGCAAACCTCTTACAGGTAAATAAATAAATATTAATGAAAACAAAGTTAATGTACATTACTTGTAATTTTAGGATATGTTTAGATTTTTTAAATGAAAGAAGAGAAAGTTTTAGAACAGAAAACCCAAGTCTTTCTTTTGCTGATATTACAAAAATGTTGGCCAGTGAGTGGGGAAGTTTGCCGACAGAAAAAAAACAACAGTTTTTTAGATGCAGCCGAACAAGATCGAGAAAGATACACAAAGGAGTATGAAGCTTATAAACAAACTGAAGCTTATAAGATTTTTTATTGAGCAACAAAAAGAGAAGAAATCTAAAGACAACAGTCCTAAAGATGAAGTTAAACTACCTGTAATGTAAATTTTTTTTGGTTGAAAATTATTTTTAATATTTTGTTTTTTTAGATCATAACTCAATCAAGTCCTGTGGTCAACAAAGAACCTCATGATATGGATTTTAGTAACTTTGATATCCCAATATTTACTGAAGAATTTTTGGATCACAACAAGACTAGGGAGTCAGAGTTAAGACAGTTGCGAAAAATAAACACTGACTATGAACAGCAAAATGCTATTCTGCAAAAACATATAGAAAATATGAGAGGAGCTATAACTAAATTGGAGACAGAAATAAATCAGCAAACAAAAAACAATTCTGCATTGCAACAGCATTTGGAGCATTTACAAAATACTTTAACCAATGGTTTTGGGGGGGGTGAAATTGCCAGGAATTAAAGAAGTTGCCACTCTGCAAAATATTGATACTTATATGACTAATTTGCATTCAATTTTATTGGAGAACAGCAGTCATGACACAAACTTGCTCCAAACTGTCCGTGACATTGTCTCAAAGTTAGAGTTCAATGGATGACAGGGATTTCGCACATCAACAAGAATAAGAAAGGTTAAAAGGTTTTGATCAATTGTGTTTAACCATAGTTTTAATTAATCTTATTGTGCTAAATTGTAATTTTGTAACATATAATTGACCTGATTGAAATATAATCTAATTAATTCATAATTTTACATTTTTTAATGTACTCATAAATTATTGTTCCATTCATTGTAATTTTATTAAATACAGTAATTGATGCATAGCATTTAAATTGTACTTTTATTAATATTTCAGAAAACACTTACCTATATAACCTTTGATAACTATTAATAGTAGTATACTATTTAGATTTTCCAATAAATATATTTATTGAAAAATCCAAAAGGCTATTATAGGCATAGTTATAAATACAATAATATTTTACAAATTATTTGAAATAATTATAAACTAAATAAACTTAATTAGGTATCTTAAAAAGAAAAACTAACAATAATTGGTACCTATTAATTTGTCTGTTCCAAAATAACCTCGAAAATAACTTACCACAGGGATTTCACTGTAAATTTTCTCTTTTTTTGGGATCCTTTCTATTTTACAAATTATTTGAAATAATTTTAAACTAAATAAACTTAATTAGGTATCTTAAGAAGAAAAACTAAAATTAATTGGTACCTATTCATATATTGTTCATATATATATGTAGATATATATATATATTATTCATATTTGTCTGTTCCAAAATAACTTACCACAAGGATTTCACTGTAAATTTTCTCTTTTTTTGGGATGCTTTTTATTTCAAGAAAAACTTTGATAACTACTTAATTAGATTATAATCTCAGTATTTATTACCAACTGTTTATGGTCGTCATAATTAGTCCAGGAAACAAATATTGTAGAAGGAAAACTCGATGGTAGTCGGGGTTTTTTTATGTTAAGTCAGGGGTGCTGATAATGAATCAAGAATATTCCCCAAAAATTTCTTTCCGCGTCCTCTAATTTCATCCCCCGAATTCGGGGGGTTTTTTTTGCTTTTTGGCTCATAACTCGCTAACCGTGCATTTTTTCAGAATTTGACCTTCAATACTTTTGATCATGTACTAAATAAGGCACACGTTAAACCCCATTGCGCACCTATATGATATGCCCTTTTGCTATGCGCAGTCTGCAAAGTTGAGCGTTGCTTTCAAAATCACTTTTTTTGTTTTTGTATTATAGCCCAATTTTAAAAGTAATCGATCCCAAACCTTACGGTAATCAAACATAACCGAATGGACGATTTTTTGAGGTACTACAGGGCTCCCAGCAGGTAGTTTTTTTAAAGACTTGTCTATATTTTTGTCTTAAGTCTATAAAAGTCTATTTTTTTACCTAAAGTCTATAAAGTCTATATTTTCTGTTACAATCAACTATTAAAAAATATTTTTTTAAATATAAATATTCAGTTTTATAAATATCGAAACCACAGTAAACCAAGTGAAACATTCGAAAACTTCGCCAAAATTATTGCTGAATTGTTTCTGGTTTGGTCTAGGGTTTCGTTTACGTTTATAGTTTCGGTTCGCTAGGTTATCACTACCTATGCATTTTTCATGAAATTAGTAAGTACCTAGTATCTATCAAAGAACATGTGACAAAGAATGTGTTCCTATTCTATGTTTTATCATCCATTCCATAACCCTAAAAAAAATATGTTCAGACGATAGCAAAGGTAAGTGTATAACTATAGTTTTGATAATTAAAAAATTATACATTTATATTATTTAATAAAAACAAAGTTTAAATGTACTTGTACTGACATAAAAAAAAATAAATTGAACGATTAAGGAAGGGTGCAGAAAATAAAAAAATGACTAAAATATGTATGGCTCAACTAATGTTTGAAGGGGTGAACCATCCCAAAAAAGAAGCGGGGAAGGTAACTTACAAGATTAGTCGTCTTGCCCAAGATTTAGAAAAACGAAAGGCGAAAATTATAGATCAACTGCAGCCCACCAAAAAAAAATATAACCCATTAAATGACTGATGCCAGTGCCTTTTATATAAATGTGATTCTATTTATTATAAGTTATAATTTATTACAGAATTTAATATAATAATTTTTTGTTATTTATGTATTTTATAACAGTTATGGTTACTTGTTAAATTTAATTCAATAAAAATTTATAATCTCTATGTATTTTAAATTCAAATTTAGATCTTTTATCCCAAAAAAATGTATACCTCCATTTTATAGTTATTTCGGTAATTAATTTGGTCTATATTTGGTCGTTTATTTTTTATTATTAGTCTCTTAAGTCACTATTTCTCGCAACATGGACTGCTGGGAGCCCTGAGGTACTAGACTTTTTTTAAAAGTTACTGCTTTTCAATGTACAGGGGGTTCTTTTTTCAAAAAACCCATTTCTTATTTCCCAAACAGCTTTAATGAGCCAGTTCGTTCCATGATCTTTGTATCATCGTTCTACCCTAGATTTTTAGGTAGGTACACTTATCCTCGTAACGAATCCTTAGTTTTTTAAAAATTATTTTCATTGAAAGTGCCCCACGAAAATTAAAGTTTTTAAAAAAGAACCCCCGGGGGTACATTGAAAAGCAATAACTTTTGAAAAAGGTCTAGTACCTCAAAAAATCGTCCATTCGGTTATGTTTGATTACCGTAAGGTTTGGGATCTAATAAAAAAAAACAAAAAAGTGATTTTGAAAGCAACTCTTAACTTTGCACACTGCGCATAGCAAAAGGGCACACCATATAGGTGCGCAATGGGGTTTAACGTGTGCCTTAATTAATACATAATCGAAAGTATTGGAGTATTCTAAAAAAATGAACGGTTAGCGAGTTATGAGCCAAAAAGCAAAAAAAATCCCCTTTCGGGGGATGAAATTGGGGAAAGAAATTTTTGGGGAATATTCTTGATTTATTATCAGCACCCCTGACTACATAAAAAAAACCTACTACCATTGAGTAAAGAGTAAAGTAATGCTACTACTATGGAGTTTTCCTTCTACAATCTTTGTTTTCTGGACTAAATCGGTTTAGTGTGCTCGCTATTCGTCAAACTGTAGAAAATATTTCGTTGCAAAATGTTCGCATGCCGGCAGTGAGACAAAGTTCTGATCGAAGTGAAGGGAATGTTGCTGCCGTTCGGGCAAGTGTTGATAAAGACCCTAATTTATGAATTTCAAGACGTTCTCAACCGTTGGGACTTTTTGCCACAACAACATGGCGTATTTTACGGTTCAATATTTGGGCTTGCATCCTTACAAAATTGTTATGAAGCAAGAATTAATGGTCTATGCTAATAGACCAGTCACAATTGAGACATTCAAATTAAATATTGAACACTAAATTCAACGAATAGGTCCTAATTTATTAAATAAAGTGATCGAAAATTGGACTCACCGTATTCAGCTCTGTAGGAGAAGCAGAGGCGGCTATTTAAATTGATTATGTCCTTTTTAGAACATAATTGCATAGATTATACTTTAAAATTAAAAAAAATTGTTCCTCTAACTCATCTCTATTTTATTTTATTTAACAAAACATATCACACTTGAAAAACCCTTTATAATAATATACTATACCAGTGGCGGCTCGTGGCAGAAAAATTTGTGAGTTCTGGCAGTGGGGTTTAAAAAAATGTGGCGCAGTTGGCATTTAATTAAACCCAGGTTCATAACATTGTTTAAGTGGGTTTTCGATGTTTCATGACGTTTAATTTTTTCGCTTAGGTTACACCAACTACGGTTTTTTCTCCACCAAACAAAAGGCGCGGAAAACAAAAAAGAGAATTATTTTTATTGCATCCGCATATCCAGTCGTTTCTGGCATAAATGTCTCTTGAAAAAATCCTTTTATACGATTTCCCCGGCTTGAACCACAATTTTCTATTGAAATATCGGGCAACGGCCGTCCATCTTCTTTTAGTTTTAATTTTTCTTCATACGTATAGAGGGAGAATTTTTTAACATTAATTAAATCATACACCACATTCATTCTTACAAAAGAATACAACAACAAAGTCAAAAATACAAAGAATTAACAGTCTTCTATTTAAAATAACAAACAAAATAACAAACGTGAATGCGAAGCGAAAATCAAACGACCGGGAAGTAGGAACTGCACCAACTTGGTGCAGCTCCGGTTTGGCTTAAATTTCGCAATCTTAACCCAGGACCAAGAGCGGCGCGGAGCAAAATTACGGTATTGAAATGGGAGCCAGAACTCGAAAGTGGCCCAGCTTTGTTGTATTGTAAGCGTTAAGCGTTAGAGACCTTTACCGGTCGTTTGGATGACTGTAGTGGCCAAGTACGGCGACACGGCGAATGTTTATAATAAAAACTTTTTATGCAGCCATGCGTTTAAAATATTTATACACTGTCGCACTTAAATATTAAATAATTAAAAAATTAGTCAAGTAATAAGACAATTTTGGGAGTTCTGCAGCTCTGCAGCCCTTATGCACTAGCCGCCCCTGTACTATATAGTATATACTATATACTAGGGTGTGAATTTAGTGATGGACCTAATAAATTATTATATTATGGGTGATAATATCGGATAATATTCTTAATTAATAGACCAGACTCATAGCCCAGAATCTGTATTTATCTTTAAGGTTAGGGAGAAGAGGTATAATTATAATTACCAAAGATAAGCTATTAGCATGATAAAAAACTAGGATAAAGTTCAATTAATAAGTTGACAACGATTTTTAACATAAAATGCGAATATCCTAATACATATGCGCTTTTTCGTTGGTATCTTTTTATTCATCACAATTTCTTTGTTACAGAGGCAGTAAAGAAAAATTCAATCTGGTAGATCGAGAATTTGAGGAGTCCGTGATAGTACGTACTATTACTATAAGTTTAATTTTATTTCAATGTTTTTTTCATGGATTACTTGACAGAATAATACATTTTTGTAGTTGTTATTGTGCATTTTTCTTTTGAAATTTTTCAACAAAATTTAGTAAAGGGTCGTTTTGAGGGGTGGTGAATGAAGTGCCGTGCTTAGATTTTGTTTAAAAGAA